TCTGTCTGCTTTAGACCCCGTGTGATAACGTCCATTGATATCATATCACCTCTTAACCTTCTCTTCCCCAGGCTAAACATCCCCAGCTCCCTAAGTTGTTCCTCATAGGGCTTGGTTTCTTGCTCACTCCGCTGTTGGTGCAGGAAATTCACAGCTAAAACAGACAGATGAAAATTCAATCTAAATGAAGCAGAGGGTGAAACTATCAGGAAATTCAATGTTTCATCAGAATCTCCTTTCTTGTAACCTGAATTCATCCATTGTCAAACTCAGCAGGATATCAAAGTTGAACAGCTCAGGTTTTCAGTAGAAAACTTTATTAAGAAACTATAGATCCAGTCTGGAGATTGCTATTGTCAGAACTTACCAGCAAATATTGTTGTTGCAGTTGCAGACTGTAAGCTGCTTAGAGAGTGCTGAGTTCACTGTTAAGCGGTACAGAAACGTAAATGCTATTGCTATTGTTGTGTGCCTTCAAGTTGTTACTGACTTGTGGTAACCCTAAACTGAGCCTATCATGGATTTTCTGAGGCTGAGAATGTGTGACTTGCCCATGGTCACCCAATGGATTTCCATGGCTGAGCAGAAAACTGAACCTTGGTCTCCAGAGTCATAGTCCAATCCTCAAACCACACCACCATGCTGGGTCTCCCAGCAAAAGTTACAACCACATGAATAAAATGTACAGAATCCAAGCTTCTAGCAGACTTAAATCTTATTAAAATTAATAAACACATTTCTCCTTCTTGTCTCACAACTCTTCTTTCTTTGTTGTCACAGAGAAACACTCTCTCTTAAATTATCTTGGACATGGTCATATCCTTTCCTGGTCTGGTCTGAGCTCATAGTTTGAAAGCACAGTTCTAAAACATACTATCACTACTACATATCCCATTATTACATTATGGCAGGACAAAAGCATATGCTAACTCCTGACATTAGTTCAAACTCCACCATATTGAGTGTGCTTTCAAAGTTGCTTGCCAACATATGGTGACCCCATTAATTTCAGAGGCTTTTCTTCAGCCAGGGAGATTCAAGAGGTAGTTTTGCCATTGCCCTCCCAGTGGTTCCCAAACTTTGGTCTTCCAGATTTTTTTTGAACTTTAGATCCTAGCATTCCTGACTGTTGACCAAACTGGTTGGGGCTTTTGGGAGGTGAAGTCCAAAAAAAAAAAAACCCAGGAAGACCAAAGTACTGCATCATCCAAAACCCACAAAACAGCGATAGCTTTATTGGGACAGCCAAAATGCACATTTACATATGTTGCAAGCTTTTAAATGCCCATTTGGTGTAATGTGCATTCTGGTTGACCCAATAAAAGTATCACTGTTTTGTGGTTTTTGGATGATGCAGTATGCAACTATATGGCCATCACAGCTGTCATGTTTCCTGGAGGACCAAAGTTTGGGAATCACAACCCTAGACCATCTGCTACATCGATCTACCAGTCATACAGCTTACTTTATAGCAGTGATGTGTGCCAACTTTTAGTAGCAAACAAAGTCTTGGGCAGGCCTGGATTTGCAGCCAATTCCAGCTCAGAACAGAAGCTAAATTCAACAGGCTCACTTGATCAGATTAAGAAAGACGATTTTAATGTTCCTTCAGAGACAGTGAAACCATATATTTTAGCTGGGGAGAGGAGAAACCATTTCTGGTGGTTGCCTCAGACAAGAGGCAGGCAGTCGCTCATGGAGAGAAGAATTAGAAATGGTATTTACTCAACACACGGCAGCCAAACCAGGAAAAAACTGGGAATCAGAGTGTGTTTTTTGAACGGCCGGCTGGCTATCGTCAGTTCATACTTGATTATAGGCCTTGCCAAGCATCGGCTGCCAGGAAACCACTCTTTTCATCTAGCTGGGTACTTGGCGTTCGGGCCTGGAACATCCATCCACATCTCATGCGGTTGGATTTTTCGCAGCATAATTACAGAGGCAGCATCTTCCTCTTCTCCTCCCTGAAGTGGGCGGCTCAGATCTGGATCTTTAATGGCCATCAGATGTGAACCATCTTTCATGATGATCAGGATCAGAAGAGGGGAAAACCTTTTCAACCTTACTTCAGTCCATCCCTTGTGGTCTTTATAGTCAGAAAGTACAAGCAGTCCTAAAGTCTAATGAAGTTCTGCCGACTTTTGCTTCCAAAAAACATGGTGTCCCCTGAGCATGGTGTCTTTCTGGCTCAGGGAAGCTATATATATATATATATATATATATATATATATATATATATATATATTTGGAAGGATAGGAAAGGAGTTGTTTGAGTGTTGGACTATACTAAACTCTGGAGACCAGGGTTCAAATCCCCACTCAGCCATGGAAGCCCATTGGGTGACCTTGGGCAAGTCACACTCTCCCATCCTCAGAGGAAGGAAAAGGCAAGCTTCTTCTGAATAAATCTTGCCAGGAAAACCCTGTGAAAGGTTTGCCTTAAGGTTGCCATAAGTCAGAAATGACTTGAAGGCACACAACAACAAAGGAAAGAATCTATCCACAACATGTCCCTGAGCATGGGCAGAGTGCCTTCTGTTCATGAAGAAAAGAACTCGCCTCTCTGTTCAGACACTGAAGTGTAGTACATAATGTGTTTCATGGCATGCTTTTGTTGTTGTTAATGGCCATCAAGTCAACTTCTACCTATGGTCAGCGTATGAACGAGAGACCTCCAAGTCACCCTGTCAACCACTTTGCTCGGGTCTTGCAAACTCAGCCTCCAGCCATGTTGGTTTGAGATAATGGAATTGTAATCCTATACATCTGGAGGGTGCCTTGTTACTTGTTGTTGCTCTTAACTGATATGACTACTGTCAACCCTACAAATAAAAGAACTCCAGGTCACCCTGTTATCAAAACCCTTGCAAACTCAGGGCAGCCATGGCTTTCTTGATGGAGTCCATCAACCTGTAGTGTAGTCTCTCTCTTTTTCTACCACCTTTTGCCTTGCCAAGCCTTATTGTCTTTTCTAATAATGAATCACAAGGAAAGACAATAATGAAAAGACACATATCCAAAGTATTGACAGCCTCAGTGTAACTATCTTGCCTTCTAGGGAGAATTCAGGTTTGATTTGCTCTTTGACCCATTCATTTGCCTTTTTAGAAGTCCACGATATCTGCAGAACTCTCCTCCAGCGTCACATTTCAAATGAGGTGAAGCTGTCCACTTCACATGGGTTAACTCTAGTGGTAAATGGAAGCATGACCAATGTTGTTCCATTGAGCAGACAACGTAGACTCTACTCAATTTTTTTTAAAACACTGATCCTAGGTTCTCAAAAGTTCGATAGCTCCTGGTACATCAGTACATATGACCAGAAATTTCTGGTAGCTTCACCAGTGAATGGGCAGTACAATGTAGTGGTCTGGGTATTAGACTCAGACCAGGGTTCAAATCCCCACTCAGACATGGAAACCGACTGGGTGACTCTCAGCCTCAGAGGAAGGCCATGGCAAATCTCCTGTGAACAACCCTTGTCCAGAAAATCCCTCCAATAGGTTCGCCGTAGGGTTACCATAAGGAAGAAACAAGTTGAAGGTACATGACATTTTGCCAATGCAACAGGCTACTTCAGAAGATGGTCAATTCTCTTCCACTGGTGATATTTCAACAGATGTTCGATCCCCACCTGTAGATTCCTGAACAGGCAGGAGACTGAACTAGATTCCCCCTCTTGGAATCCTTTCCAACTCTATGATCTACTCTTGTGTTATTACGCCCACAATTCAGAAACAGGCTGCTATCTATTAAATCCATTTAAGAAAAGGTAAAGTTATTCCCCATTGACAAGGTTGTCAAGTCATGTACCGTAGCGGGCAGTGCCCATCTCCGTTACTAAGCAGAAGAGCCAGGGTTGTCCAAGGAATGCTCCGATGGTCATGCAGCCAGCATGACTGCACCAAATGCTGTTACCTTCCCACCGAAGTGGTACCTATTTATCTACTTGCATTTGCATGCTTTCGAACTGCTAGGTTGGTAGAAGCTGGTACTAATGAAGGGTGCTCACCCCATCATGCAGCACCTGGGCATCGAACTGCCAACCTGCTGATCTTGCAATCAACAGATACAAAAAGAATGGATGCATAGTAAGGAGGAAAGAAGTCAAAGAATTAGAGAGTGGATAGTGAAGTTTTAGGTAAGATTGTGAGAAGTAGACAGTCAAATAAGGGATGGTTAATTGGGTGGAAAGGGGTGAGAGAGAAAGAGGTAGGTGAAGAAGGTAAGAGTAGGTGTAGTATATAGGAGGACAGTTAGGGGAAGAGAAGGTGAAGAAAGGAAATAGAGGGGAAGATTGACAAGGAAGGAAGGACGGAGGAGAAGAAGAAAGAGGAAGGGAGGAGAGAGAGGGGAAATAGATGGAGGAGAAGAAGAAAGAGGAAGGGAGGAGAGAGAGGGGAAGAGACGGAGGAGAAGAAGAAAGAGGAAGGGAGGAGAGAGAGGGGAAAGAGACGGAGGAGAAGATGAAAGAGGAAGGGAGGAGAGGGGGGAAAGAGACGGAAGAGAAGAAGAAAGAGGAAGGGAGGAGAGAGAGGGGAAAGAGGTGGGGAGAGGAGGAGGTAAGGAAGGAATAGAGAACATAAGGAGTTTTGATTGTAAAATAGGTGAGGAACACATGTTGTGTATAAATATGTTGGTATGGTTTGTTGGTTTTTTATTGGTTGTTTGTTAATTATATGAAAATAAAAATATATTACATAAAAAAACACACTAAATAAGTAACATCTCCAAGGCTCTGGAGCAGGGGATGTGGCGAGGAAGCAATGGAATCAGCTCCCTCAAACATCACACTTGTTCAGAACTCATTTCCACTTCTTTCAATGGTACAGTGTTAGTATAGTATAGAGCAGGGGTAAGGCAACCTTTCCCCTTTAAGGGCCGAGGGATTTCAGCTCCCAGAATCCCAGGAGCTATTGGCCAACATGGCTGAGGCTTCTGGGAGCTGAAGTCCCTCGGCCCTTAAAGGGGAAAGGTTGCCTATCCCTGGTATAGAGAGTCAGTGTGTAGTAGTGGTTTGAGCGTTGGATTACAATTCTGGAGATCAGGGTTCGATTTCCTGCTCAGCGATGGAAACCCATTGGACTATCTTGGGCAAGTCACACACTCTCAGCCCTAGCAAACCCCGTGATGGATTCACCTTAGGGTCGCCGTAAGTCAGAAACAACTTGATGGCACATAACAACAACAATAAATAGTGTTATGCTAGTGTTACGGATTATAGAAGTTAAAAACTATTCCAATAAAGAGCACAAGGTAATTACCCCTAATAACCTCTCTTCATCATAGGATAGGATTTTGAGTAATCTGGGGGCCAGGCATCCCAAACTGCCAAAAGTATGTAAATCTCAGCAAGAAACAGAGCCTAAACTGCCTTAAACACTGTTGTTCTGGTCAGAGTTCATGAAAAGTTGGCTCTGTGCACTTTTCCGAAATGTGCTCAGTCCGTTCATTGCAGCTGGATTGAAATCATTCAGCTTTCCAGTACCTCACGTTCTGACCCTGGCTTGCAAAAGTTGGAGAAACTGGCATTTAACATAGATTTACCATTTGATGGATAATCTGACTGTTGATGATCATTTGCAAATTATTTGGAGTTTGTTGGTAATTGCGTTTTAAATACTGTGCGTGCATGGTTTGTTTGTTTTTTTTAAGTTTTCTTAAAGACTCTTCAAGATCTTATTCCAGCCTCAACCATTTCCAAGTGGATTAGAGAATTCTTCCTCCAGGGTTTTAGGCTGATCTCATACAGTACTTGACAAAGGCTGTTTTGTTAGAAAGAACTTGTGCTCTCAAATCATCCTCAATATACACACACACACACAGAGACTTTTGTAGTAAATGCCTTATTGAGGTTTCATACATTCTAGGGATTAACAAAGAGTTGCCCTTCCAATGTTGGTGGACTACAGCTCCCATCCTCCTCCCTCCTGACTATGTTGCCTGGCTGGGTTAAACTATGGTTTTGGGAACTGCAGTCATTAAAAGTTACAAGTGCTGTGCATGGTTTAAGCCAAATGACTTTCAATTTAATATTCTCTCTCATATATAGTCTGGCTATTATTACTGTTTTCCAGCCCTCTTCCAGGAACAATAATTACGGTTTAGATTTAAACATTTTAGCTTTAACCATTTATTGGCAGATGTTCATTGTCAGACCAGTATCCAATGTCAGTTGCTACTTTTTTATCACTTTATTTATAGTGCAAGAAATGCTATTCAGAAATAATTCCATTTACATAAGTTCCACCAAAACAACTTGCTTTGAAAGAACACTTTCTAGAAGAACAATGATGACTTAGTGGCTATAACATCTGAACTGCATTATGTTACTTGATTTTCTAGTTTAGTCCTATACTGGTGTAGTCCTACACATTAATGCAAAAAACAACAAAAACTGGTTTAAACTCCCAAAGCCAGGTGTTTCATTATCTAATATATGTTTGCAATATGATCTCTAGTGTCTCTCCCTTTCCTGAATTCAGCTACATAGTTTCCACCATTTTTGAATGCTAATCCTTTTTTTAAAGCAACCTTCCAGCTAGACAGAGAAAGAAAATGGGGGCTAGGCAGGTGCATCTCAATTAGCAAAATCTCTGACAAATAAGTTCATTTTTACAAAGTCTTACAAAGTTTTCATTCAGGCAACCCTGTGCCTCAAACCCCAGTTGCTTCTTGAAGAATCAGATCTTTAATGTGAGTGCAGAACTTCAGAAGTTGTATTTTATCCTGTATTGTATCTCCAGCGAGCCAGCATGGCATAGTGGTTTGAGCATTGGCCTAAAAATCTGGGAGACCAAGGTAATCCCTACTGGAAACTCACTAGATGTGCATCTGCACTATAGAAATAACACAGTTTGGCACCAAGCTGGAGCTCCATCCTATGAAATCCTGGGATTTGTAGTTTTGCAAGGTCTGTAGCCTTCTCTGCCAAAATATGCTGTGCCCTCACCACACTACAAATCCCAGATTCTGCAGGATGGAGCAGAATGCATCCATATCTGCCACACTTTGCGTACCCCTAGGCTAAACTAACCTAGAACTGGAAACCTGTCATATCACCTAAACTTGGTTTCTTGACTCTCTGCTCTCCTTAGAAGCCTGGCTTTGCAAACCAGGGTTTGACAATCCTGGTTTACCAATCTGGGTTTGTTTGGGAGCATCAAGCCAGGAACCAGAGTTCAGATGACACAGTACACTTTTGATTCCTGGTTTAACCTGATCACCTTAGCAGCACACAACTGATCCGAATAAGACAAGGTTTCTTCCAAGATCCATGTTCGCTGTGGTGTGTGAATGCAGCCTTTGTTTGCCTGCTGTCACGATGCATCACACTTTAAGCAATGCTCCCATGATCACACGACATATACATTTCCTTCAACACAATGCTCACTCTGTTCTTGGCTTATGTGGGTGGCTTTTGTGATTTCTTAAAATCCTCTGTCACGGCATGTAGGATTTGCATAGGAGCTCCTTTTAGAAACTGTTAAATATGCAAGGAGGGGGGGAAAGAAATGGTGAAGGGGGAGGATCAAAAAAAGTAAATCTCCATGCTCATAGATATGGTTTGATGTAATAATAATAATAATAATAATAATAATTTGTATCCTGCCTCTTTGTGTAACACAACCGGGGCGGCTTACACGCTAAAATGTAGGAGTTGAATGGATCATAAAACTTTTAAAAAGCATTATGAATCTTCTTCATTAAAAAACTATTCCTATATTTAACATGGAAGGCGAAGATTAAAACCAGTACACAGATACAAAAAATGTCCTGGGATGATACAGTTGTTCCAATTAATGTACCAGCTAGGCTTCTCTCCTTTTTATCTACTTTCTTCTGGTCATACAGCCCAGGAAGCACTAAAACAAAGAGTTTGGACATCAGTGCCCAAACAGACAGAGCTTTGTTGGCCGGCTTATTTAAACACTCCGATTGAATTTTTATATTTTTTATATTTGTTACTTTATGCCCCCTGTTTTATCTTGTAACTTACTCCCTTATAAAATTTACTATTTATTCAAGTTTTATTCGTATACGAGTTTTAGGTTAGTGATTTGTCTATTGTGTATGTGTTTTTGTATTTTATTGTTGATATAGGCTGGATGGCCATCTGTCGGGGATGCTTTGATTTTGAGTTCCTGCATGGCAGGGGGTTGGACTAGATGGCCCTTGGGGTCTCTTCCATCTCTATGATTCTATATGGTCAGCGAACTAATCAATAAATGTTGTTGTATTTCATAAACAAGTGAAGAAATGACTTTGTCCCCCTCGATTTTGTTTAGCCAAGTAACAAAAGGCATTCCTATGGTATGTACTACTTGGTTGACTCACTCGTACCCAAACTATCACTCCCTAGCTGTCTTGGACCACAATTCCAACCAGAATGGTTGCTGCCTTACGTCCCTGTGTTGGGAGGAAGGCAGGATATAAACAAACAGAATAACTAAATAAATGGCCATAGGTGTGACGGACCATACTCACCTGACAGCTTTTGATGGCTGGTGGCTGCAAGAACATCATCATCATCATAAAGAACATCTCACAAGCTGGATTGCAATGATTTACCAATTGAATAAAGAGCCTATTTTTGCCGTTATCAAGAGTTTTCCAGGATATGCTGTTATGATTTAAGAGAGTGCTTCTGCAGCTATCTAATGTGGAGGACTGGCAAGGATTTTCTCCCCAATGTGTCAGGGATCAGCACCATATTTATGCCCACTGACCACAATTATTTCTTTCTTTCCTGGAAATAGCTTGTGGACCAGCATTGATCCACTGAGCACCATTTTGGTACTGGCTTAAACCAGGGTTGGAGGCGGGGTGGTGGTGGTTGTATTTAAAAAAATACATTTAAAATACATTTTAAATACATAATGGCTCTTGTAAAAGTGACCCCTTTAAAGCTAGTTGTTTTGGCTGAACATAACGTTAATTGAAGGATTGGTTTCTGAATGGCATTTCCTGCCCCATAAAAAAATAAAGCGATGAAAAAGAAGCAGCTGACACTGGATACCGGTCTGGCAATGAACAACTGCCAACAAACTGTTGATGTTAAAATGCTTAAATTCAAATGCAGCCTGCTTATATAGACCTGTCACTGGGGAGCCTCCTCTGCAAGCATCTGAGGAAGTAGACTGAAGTTTATGAAAGCTCATGCTATCACCTTCTTTCTTTCAGAGGTGCTAAAAGAGCCCGCTGCATACTAATTTCAAACAGTCATTGTAGTTCCAATAAGAGGGTTAGAAAATACACTAGATCCTCTACATTCGCATGCAGGACAGATGCAAGATGCTCTACAAAGGATGCAGGATGCCTGTGAAAAGTGGGGGGAAATGCCAAAAAAAAACCAAAACAAAACCCACTATTTTTTAACCTGAGAGAACATCTCTTTAGGAATCTCTAGGTCCTCCAACTTCCAGCAGAATTACGCTGGAGGACCTAGAGATTTTTAGAGAGAACATTTTAACCCAATCCACGAATAATCAAATCTGCAAAAATCCAAGTTACAAACGAGGGCCAGCTAGTAACAATGGCTCCCTTTTTTTGGAAGAAAGGCAGCAGACAAATAAATAAATAAATAATAGGCAGACTTTTAGAAAACATATGAATGATTCATTTTAAAAACCAGAGTGAGGACCAGTTGGGAAGGACAGAATGGAGGAGATCTGAAAAACGGTGCTTTGTAGAGGTTAGAGCATGGAAGGACTTCAGCAAAAAGGCTCCTTTCCTTTGTTTGATACAGAGATGTTACAATGTACTCTACGTGGAATCAGCATGTTTATTTTATCTTTTACAATAAACCTTTAATTTTTTATTTTCTACATCTCTGCTTGGATGTTTTCATTTAATTATCAGTTAGGAGACACCTCAATGAAACCAACAAGTTAACATATCCACTAGTCCAGTACAGCTGACCCTCTGTATTCACATGGATTTTTTTAAAAAAAAACCATGGATTCAACCTTCCATGGCTTGAAAATATTTTTAAAAATATACATTTCAAAAAGCAAACCTTGATTTGACCATTATATATAAAGGACACCATTTTACTACTGTATTTAATG